ACAATCACATTATGTTTGTTGTTTTGTTTTATTCAAGGGCTTTGTATTGTGAATTGCCATGTTATGAAATGATGTGAACTGTGTTAGAAGCCATGATCCTTGTACTACATATTTTTTTTCCCTCACATGAATAATTCTATTGTCTTAAAGCAAATCAACTTTGACTTTTAGTCAGGTAGTACAGAAACAAACTCTAGATATTTACAGCACCCTAATTTCTGATTACATTGAGTTCTTTGTTTTGTCTCACTGCATGGCTTCATAATTTTATTTTTTCTTAATGTATTACAGTTTCCTAATTAATTTCCTAATTCAGTTTAAAATAAAGATCTTATAAATATTTACGCTTCTGATTTCTTAACAGTTTTTCAATGATGCACATAATTTCATGGTAACAGTCTTACTTTTCATTCAAATTGTGGATGTTTTTCATCATTAGGCTGTTCTAATACCCAGAGGCAGCTGTGATTCCAGCCCTGTTCTGGAATTCACTAAATTAACACAAATGAAGATTCCTCTGTGAGTCTCAGCAGTACTTTCAGTACGCTTCCACACAGGCAACTGTATGACAGAAAAATAAAGTGATATAAACCCAGTTTTATTTAGTCTGTAAATGGCTTTTGCTTCATTTAAAAATATCATCCCAGATTTTACCTAAAATCAGCCTTGCATTGTTTTCTACATGAAACGTTAAGCCTCTTTACTGGTTTCTGTACGTTCTTTGCATCAAATTTTGACTCCTTGTCAGAGATTGAGCTGTAAAGATTAGTTCCAATCTCCCTTTCGGTTCATTATTTGAAGTTAACCTTTATTCTACTTCAGAAAAATCTTTCTTTCTTCCCTAAAATGGTATCTCTGGGTTAAAAGATTTATATAAACAAATGGGTTTGGATGGAATTAATGATGAGCAAATTAAGCTACCTGATTTCCTTGTGTAACCAGATAATTAGACATCTCATATCTGCACTTTATATCACCAACTTATTTTTTTCATCTGACCTCAAATCAAAAAATGTTGGATGGAAAAAAAACAGAACTCATATAAAACCAAAAAACAAGCCCCAGAGAGTTTTCTGGTAATCATTTAACTCCTTTACTCCTAAATGTGTAATAATTGACTCAATTTTCCTTCCCATGTATTCCTATTGGGATCAGATGAAGAATATTGGGGCCAGTCCCTGCTCTTCTTCAGTGCTATTTTAGAGGACTGAATATGGCATAATTTTCAAACAGTTGACCAGCTGCAACTCTGTTTCCTTAAGTGTTTAAGGAGCTTTTCTACTTTTGCATCAAGCTTAATGTTTTCCATGATACAAAAATACATACTAGGAAGGATTTAATTAGCACCTTTTCTAGCAGCATCAGGAAAGAGGTCAAAAGGTGTGTTTTCAATGCCCAGCTGTTCCTCTGGAGATGGGCATTCTGAGCAAGTGGACAAGGAAATACACAAAGGAAGTTCTGCACATCTGTGGCAGTGGCCAGTGCCCTGTTTTTCCTGTGTATGGATATGGATATGGATATATTTATAGAAATCAGAAAGTTTATAAGGTTATTGCCTTGCTTTTTTTCAAATTAAAAATGGGCTCTGGTGTCACTGTTTTTGAAGTAGAGACAACAACTGGAGTTTGATTTTCAGAGGCTCAAGGCTTTTCCAAAAGTTACATCTTGTTTGAAATGGAATAGAATAGGAAATCAAATATGGAGGGAGGTAGAGCCACCAATCATTAAAAAAAGAAGGCAATCCTTTTGTCTTTAATTCATAGGGTCTAGCAGTAAATAACTTTACAGATTTTGTTTCAATCTGAAGTCAATATTTTCCTTTTGCTTTAGGCTCCCAGATGTATTATTTCTGCTCATTCCAATGGTCTATTGGTACAATGAGTCACTCTGAACTACGACACATGCTTTAGTGCTACCACTAAAGTTTGTGCTGTGCCCTTGCTGTAGATTAATCAGGTACTTCAAGGTCCAAGCACCTTTCAATACTAGTAAAATCCATATATTATTCTCATAAAAGCTGATAATAGCAGTACAGTATTACTAAAATGTATTTGGGAACCATGATGCTGTGTATTGTGGTTACAAAACACACAGGTCAGTTGAATGTAGATACAATAGAGATTTATTTCTGCACTCAAATCTACTTCAATTTATCTGCTAATTCTAACATCCCTGAGCAAGAAACATCTTGTATTGATTAGCTGTTTTTGAAGACAATGAATGCTTTTAAAGTACATGACTCAGTAAATTAAGTGCTTTCTGCAGTCTTGGATGCTATGTCAAGTGTCTTCTTTACAGGCTGAAGTTCATATATCTCTTTATGTTCAAGTGCTTTCAAGTGTTTTATATTTTACTTACAACTTCCTCTTTCTGCAGTAACTACAATCTCTGAGCTGTGATTTAATGCTGCTTGTACAGCCCTTCACTGTGAAGCTGGGACATAGTTTAGCCAAGCAATTTCTCCCTCCTACTCAAATAAACCACACATTTTAAAAAAGTGCAGCTCAAATATATACTTCACTAATGTTATGGGCCCAATGAGGTATAACATAAAGTCTGAGTGAGAGTTGTTCTTTCATAGCCACAGTGTTAAAGTAAAGAACAATAACTCAGGTAACAACTGAAAGGGGCTGCAGTGTGTGCTTGCCATATGCTGAGTGTACCTGCTCTCAGCTCCTGGGTGCTTAAGGAGTCACTGAAGCTGCAGGAGGCAGTTCTGGAAATTCAGCGTAATTCTGAACACAGTGCAACCACAATACCAGTGCCTGAGTCACCAGGCTTTACCTCAGGCTGAATGTCACTTCTGCTAGGCCAGTGTCAAGCTTTCCCTCAAGAAAATGTTTCCATCCTTTTGTCTGCACTTGAAGACAAATTTGTCACACAATATGCTGTCCGAGGAATTTGAGATAATGACAGTAACTGGGAGAGATAACAGGCAAAAACTCCAACTGGATATTGCCTGGGAGTTCAATAACTGTGGGGAGTCTTGTTATTGTAAAATGAAAGTGACGATGGGTGGTGTTTTGTTGTATGAGTATATTGTCCCTCTTTGTTGGTGTTGTGATGATGTGGCTTTAATGGCGCTGTGGATTTTTTTTGTTTGTTTTGTTGATGTGAATAAATCTGTGATGAACATGCATGACAATTCAGCTCACTAACACCTCTGACTAACCTACAAAAGGGGATGTTGCCAGATGTCATCGGTTTGAAGGGACTTTATATGGGCATGATAATAACTTCCTCCTTGGAAAAACATATAGCATTATATACTCTGAGCTTATGTAAAGTAGCATGACAAAGGAAATAGGAAGTTGGCATTGAAATCCATGAATTTATACCCATGTCAGAATGTTGAGAAGGGAATCAGGGTGATATACTTCCCATTTACAAGCTCAACCCAAACTATAACCTCCCTCAGCACATGAAAAGGTTGGAAATGGAAAGTTTGTACTGTTGCCCTTTACTTTTCTTTGCTGTTGACTGGAGTTGGTAAGGTTTTAAGGGGAGTACTGTGGATATACATCTGTGTTGATAGGAATACTGTGCTACACAGGCTGCTTTGTAAAGGAGTGGCTGCTCAGGGTATGCACATAGTGATCAAATACCTGACAGCTGCTGCTGCTCCTGTTTTTCTCTTTTATTCAGGGATCCACCATGAGAGTTGGACTGTGAATACTGTGCTATTATTGTTGGCTCACAAATGTTGAGCTGATATTGATTTTCTGAAAAGATGTTTGGAGCAGTAATAAAAATAAAAGTCAAGAATGATGAGGCTTTACAAATAGCCAATAAAAGAATCCACAAAAAAACTTAGCAAACTCTTGGGCTATTCAACCTTGACAATGTCCTTTTCAATATGAATTTAGTCTTCTCCTCATGCTTTGAACAGCCAACAGCATTTGTTTCTACCCTCACAGTGCTCCACTGGCCCAAAGAATCACTTTGAGCTACAGCTTGCAGTTCCCAGCTTTCACACTGTACACAGTTTACCCTGGGAGAGCAGAGAGGGAAATGGGTAGTGTAGGACCTGAGTAAATGATAAAAGTCCTCTTCATCAGAAGGAACTGCTTCTGAAGTCGATAGGAGTTCACAGTATGGGGTGACCGTGAAGCTAGACCCCTTAACAGGCTTCATGTGGCTCTCCTAAGCATACATGCTGTCCTTTTGTAAACTTTGAGATTTACAATGTTCGATTTACCCATGAGTTGGTGAAAAAATACAGTAATTTTTATTAAAAATTTTATTAGCTTACTAGATTTTTTAAAATACAAACACAAAGCAGTTGATGAGCACAGTACTTTTAAAAAGAAATTTGATTTATACTGTGAGATGATATTCCTCAACTGTAGACAAAACTGACATATAATCATTCAATACCCCTCAAAATAAAAAATTAATTATCCAGCATTAAATGCTCCACATGTAAGCTTTCCATAATGGAGTTCCCTGAAGAAAACTGACCCTCAGTGTCTGAATATTTCATTATTTCTGACACAAGGGACTTATGCCACTGCTTTTGTTTAAAACCAGAGTAATTCATCTCATTTTACTTCATTACACCACCATAAAGTTGGACTAATGCAGCTATAAATTAGGTAAAATATTTCTAGAACTACTAAGATAAAAAAGTAAAATGGGTAACATAATGTTCTTTATGGACAGAAGCTCACAGTACTGAGTATAAGGGATAATGTCTCATCCTACCAGCAGTTCCATTAAACTTACTGGGGTGTAAGTTACAGCATAAAATACAGCATACAGTTACCAGTATCTGACTGTGTGTTTGCACAATTCCCTCTACAATGGGATTCCTATCTGGAGATTACAAAAATACACATCAGAGATAGAATAAATTAATGAGCTTTGAAATGTAAGAGAAATATTGAGATAATTGAAATAAAAAGATCTCTCCAAGCTCCAATAACCCACCCTGCTTCAACCATTACTGTCTTTGTGTGATTTCTTTTCCTCCCAGGTAAATACAAATCAGCAGTATAAATCTATTCAAACAATCTTCGAAGAAAGGACTTTTTTGTGGACGTTGCTAACTTCATGGTTTTCTTTTTGCGCAATGGTTTCATGGGTTGCTTTTTCAGGCGCACCACCTTTGGGGGAGTTTGTAGCCCTTTATTAAGGTCAACATGCTTGTTGCAGAAGTACTTGACATTTGCTTCTGAGAGACGTAGAAGCATGGTCTCTGAGAGATCCATACATTGTGCGTGGACCCAGTGGCCTGTCCCGCTGGAACACAGGATCATTGCAGGCTTGTTGAGTTCTGTCGAATAGAAAGGGACCCAGGAGTTAATGTCAATATTGCAACTGGCACAGCAGGTGATCCAGTATCCCGTTTCTGATTCATCTTCTTCATCATCCTCATTATAAGTGTTAGTATCATCAATGTCAAAGCTACTGGCTTCAGCACTAAAGCAAAACTCCTCTGAATCTTCAAATGGAGTGGAATCTCCAGGGTCTTCACTTGATGTCTGACTGCAAATTTGTGTTGTCAATTCTTCTTCCTTGTCCTCTTCTTCTCCTTTGCATCTCAAAATGTAGAAGTAGTTTGCATCTGAGATTAACTGTTTGTTAGCTCCTGGAATGCCCAGCAATACAGACCCTTTGCCCATATCACAGCCAAACCATATTTTGCAGTGTTTAATATCTGGTGTCCACTCTGGGCTCTCTCTTTCAACAATCTCTATCTTACTATCCTCCAGAACTATGGTGTTACACACCAACCGTTTCTGGTTGTCAGAGTGGTAGCCACCGACAAGGACAAATTCAGTATCACTGATTTGAGTCACTATAGCACTTGACACTGATATCCCCCCTGGCAAGATGGTGCAGGTCACAGCTGGGCTGCCCAGTGGGAGATCAACTTTTAGCTTGTATAAGTTGGGGCACCTGGTGTTATTTTGAAGTGAATGGCCTCCTAAAATGTAGATCGTATCATCTCTGGCAATTGAAACATGGAAAGAAAGTCCATCCTGAAGCTCTGGAAGCATGTATGATGTACAGCATCCAAACTCAAAATCAACAAGAAACACAGATGGCAAACAGTCCACTACGCTGTTCCACTTTTCAGTGGTTCTTTGTTCAAGAGGAGTATACGATCTCCCTCCAAATATAACACTCACGCTTTTTCCCCGGCTATGAACTACATTAATTGTATGCCCATATCTAGCTTCAGGGACATCTCCACCCAGGTCTTTCTCAATGCATTGGAATGTCATTTTCTTGCTACTTTTGCTTACCAGACTTATAAAGTAAATCTTATCGGAGAGGTCATTGTTAGGTGTTTTACCACCATGGATGATGTACTGGTACTCATCAGATTTTGCATTGCTTCTGAGTGTGCAAAGAGCAGGGTAGCGGAGAGGGGGAAGGTAACATGAGTCTTTAGAGAAGAAGGCAGGTTTCATTTTGAGTTCATTCTGCTTTATATCGAGGAGGAAAACACCAGTGGGGCAGGATCTCTTTGGCCATCCTTTCTGCCCAAAAAAGAGAACATGCCCATCAAAATTCAGGAGAGAGAAGCCCGGCTGAAGCAAGGATGAGTTACTGACGGCTGATACCATCTGCAGTGACATTTCATCTGTCGACTGTGCCATATTGTGGCTGAGAAAAGAAAAAAACACCAAAAGAAACAGATCAAACATGTATTAAACCCTATGAGAATTATTTAACAGTACTTGAATAAATCGTATTAAAGTTGCGCCTCAGCTCACACGCTGAGACCCGAAAAGACACCCTTTTCTGGGACTCAAGAGGTGAGTCAAACATGAGCTGTAGCAAGTTATGCGGGATTTTGCACAAATTACGGCCTTTTGGCACGGAGAACATCGGTGCGCCCCAAGCTGGGGCGACCTGCCGGGGCGAGCGCGGCCGCTCCCATGGGAACGGGGCCCCGCGCGGTGCTGGGGCCGGTAGTTCTCGCAGGTCTGCCCGGCTCGGCGCGGCTCGGGGCCGCTCGGCTGGCTTGGGGCTGCCCGGCCGCCGCTTGGCTCAGCCCGGGCGTGGGGCAGCGGGCCCGGCGGGGTGAGCGGGCCGGCGGCGGGTGAGTGTGGCCGTGGGGCCGCTCTGCTGGCCGCGGGATTCGGCTCCGGGGCTCCACGGAGCGGAGGGAGCAGCCCCGGCGATGCCGCAAGCCGGGATGTTTCCTGCCCGCTGGTTGTCCCGCGGCGGGCGGGGGTACCCGGCGGGCTGGAGCGCTGGAGCCGCCCCGATGCCGTCCCGGCAGGGGGGAAGGGGCGCGGATCCCCGGCCTGGGCGCCCGGGGGTGCGGGAGCCTCTTCTGCCCCCCGATGCTCCCGAGCGGCTCGGGTCACCCGGAGCGGCAGGAGAGCGGGGGACTCCCACCCACCCAGGTCTCTGGCCGGGAACGTGCCCCAGTGCCCCGTGGCCAGTGGGCTGAAGTAAGTGCGTGCACAGCCGAGTGCAAACTTCAGTTACAGGTTTTGCAGGGTTACAACGAAAAAAAAAAATTAGGATTTGTTGGATAGAAGCAGCGATGCCCGCTCTGTTTCTAACCGTGCAGGTATCACGGAACTGGCAAATACTGTTAGTGCCAGGATGAATCTCACTTGTGCTGAACAGCCCACTCGGGTATCTGGGTGGCTTGCGAGTTTCCTTGCGGGATGTTTTCAGTGTGGTCGAATTCTTTATCTTTCACGTTTACTGTTTGCTCATGCTTTCATGATTAGGTTTCAAGAGGTATACTTCTATAAACCTGTTTGTTCAAAATCCTAAAAGAGTTCATGCAGTCAGCTTGGGTAATAACACTGAAAGAGCTTTGGAGAGCACAGACACCAGGGAAGGAAATAACTGGCCTGTTCATTGACACTATCCTATCGTGGTAGCAGACATGTGCCTTTTAGTAAATGTCCAAGTTCTCTGTCCCAGCCTTTGCCATATCCCCAAAATTTAAAGGTGTGAACTAAATATTAGGAAAAAACCTAAATCCCTATACATTTTAAAATGTAATTCCTTGTTTTGAAATCTCTAGGATTCATATTGTCCTTGTTCCTGCTTTTCATTTTCTGTAACAACAACAAAAAAAAAAACCACAGAGGGTTTCTTTTTTAAGGAAGGATCAGTATCTTCTGGTTATGTGACATCAGATCTTGAGGTATCAGGAACTACATTGTGCACTGGAAGAATCACTGTTAAAACATGGGAACTGATGACACTGACTACGTCAAATTGCCATGTTGTGCCATGTTGTACCATATTCCTGCACTGCCTGCCCGCAAACTGGTATGCAAACTGCCGTGCTAAACTATGGATCTGCCATGGATCGCTTTCAAAAGTGAGATGCCAGAGCACACAGAGTAGGTATAGTCATTCCTGAGTCCATTTGAAAAACAGTCCATGGAATAGCTGTCTTACAGAATTGTATGTTCTGGAATCATCCAAAGATTATGATGAAGTTCTGTTCACTGTGCCAGTCCTAATGCCTCTTCCCTGAAGGTAGTAGTTTTTTCAACATTTAGATTCCTTTTCAGAAGTACTGCACTGTAAGTTTAGTTATAAGTTAATTAAATTAGTGAACCCTGTTCTGAGCATGTCAGTATACACAGCAGGTTTTGTTCTTATTATGCATGAAGAAATATTTGCCAGGTTATTTAACTTAAGGTGATATGCTAAACAGAAATCTCTGCTGCTTGTTCCTCACAAGAATTCAAAAGTGGTGTCAGAGGAACTTGCACTAAATTTGGTTTACTGGATTAGATGTCCTTTGTCTCTTCTTTCATATTGTTTAGTTACTTCTTTGTTTTTACAGGATCTTTAGAAAAATAAAATGTCTTCCATAATGAAGATACCATAAGAAAATTAGTGTTCTTTCTGATCAAATTAGTATTCTTTATTTTGTAACACTGGTGTTCTACATTTGACTGCTGGTTTATATTTGAAGTCTAGCAAGAGTATTAAAAATGGCAAACAATTGACATATTGTATATATTTTTACATATACATGATCTCCAAATATGACAATTATTAGTGTTTACAGTGTCACAAACTATTTCCTGAATATGGGGCAATACTCAGTTCTGAAGAGTATACTGTCTGAAGAGTCTACAGATATACAGTGGAGAAAAGATCAGTGAAAATTATTAAAAGTGAGATTGAGAGATACAAGTAAATAAACACACTTAAACACACTTTCTCCTTCGTCTTGAATATTTCTTGAACTTTACATAAGCAAGCAGTTCAGTAAGTAACAGAGAGAATATTTGTCTGACAGTTTTGACAGACGTGGCTCCTTAGGCACCTGCTGGAATTGCTTTGGCTTTCTGTATTTTTTCATGCTAATTACAGTGTGCTCTTTGGCTGTGCTGACCTCCACCTCTAACCTTCTAATACCACTGATTCCTTTGGGCTTGTCTGACCCTGAGCAGCTTCAGGGAATCCAAAAGGTAAAACTCTAACCTCATAACCACAGAGTTTAAAGTGTTTTTGGCGGTTTTATGCTCAAAACTGTGTCACTGTGGAGTCAGATTAGCATTAGAGTTAGTGCAGAGGGAAAGAGATGCCTTTGTTGTGGTGCAGCACAAGTTGCTGGGGAAAAGACACTACAAGAAGATAAATAAATAGAGAAGGGTGGAGTTACATAAACAATTACCAGTTATGGTGTCTTGAGTCATGCTTCATCATATTTGGTGTTTTATAAAAGGCGAAGCTGCAAGGATTATACAAATATGTGACAATCTCAGCATTTTGTAATGCCTGTATTTGAGAAGCAGTAGAGATCTGAGCCAGAGGCTAAGATAATAGAAGGAAGAAAACTAATATTCTTCCCTATTGTATTTTGAAATCAAACAGTATTTTGAGCAGATTTTTCAGGTAATAGTTGTTTGTATAGCAAGATGAGATTACAAGGAATTAAGATTTAGGTAGATTCATTTGCAGATACATTTACAGAAGGATCAAATGAAGAGAGAAGGTGCTTTTTAAAAGCACTAGTTAATGTAATTTGAAATGTGCTTAGTATGGAAATGGATACAATTTTGTGTGCTGTATCATTTCAGAAACTATATTAAGTGTTCATGGAGAACAGGATGAGTGTTTTTTAGGATTCAGTCACCTGAACATCAAGTGACATTTCATATACCTTTGGGTATTCTTCTTTGTCTTCTAACTTCTGCTATGGAAGGGAGGTTTCCCACTGGTCCTGTGTTCCAGGCCCTATAAATACAGGGTTTCTAAAATGTCACTAGATTAGAATGTTTAGGCACTGTGTCACTCCCAAACATTGTCTTTTTTGACTCCATGTAGAAAATGTTCACCTATGTGACTTTACCTGTTACCTGCTTAGGCAACAAAAACATTCTAATCAGGAGAACAATGAATAATCAGTGCTACTGTTTAGTGTGACATCTCATATTTTTTAACATGAAAAGTACCATATTTGTAATAAATTCATGGTAATTTGAATGCTGGAAAATAATGAATGTTGAATGAGTTGACCTTATGAACTGTAGCAAACCCAAAGAACCTTTTCTCATTTACACAAAGATAAGATATTTGAGAAGTACTGATTGGACACTGAGAGAATGGATTGCAGGATAGCATGGGGTCTTAGTTGGTACATGCCCATTGCTGATAATTAAATTCATTAGTTTGCAATTATTTTTAATTTGACATGAACACAAATATCTGTGGTAGAATTAAATTTATTTGGCATTATTGTATTTTTTTTCTCTGACTGATCTGCTTTTTCATTTCCAAAATGGAAAAGCGTACCCTGAAAAGCAAGTGGTGTTTCCAAATTCTCCACAGTCAAAATCATATCCAGACACTCAGAGAGCTTTGAAGTCCTCCATAAACAGGCTTAAGGAAGGAGTTTTTTTATATAGTATCTCTCAAAACATTTACTGAGTGTATCAACTAAGTTGGCTTTGGGCAAAACAGTAATTTAGACATACCTGGCTGATAGTGGTTTTTTGTGTCCTCCGAAATCTTTCTGTGTAATTGAGATTCAAATGTGAGGAATTAGAGGAATCTTCTCTGACAGCACAGGGGGTTCGTGGCAAGGTGAGGTAGCCTGATGGAAGGGAATCTATCTGCTTAATTTGCAGATATGCTCCTGAGAACTCGATCTACTGTGGCTAACAGCCTGTGACTGTTTTTTTTTCTTCCCTCTCTTGTCTTTAGATGGCACAACAAGAAACCCACCAGCCTCCAGAAACTTTAACTCTTTGCAGTAGAACAAAATTAGAGTGACAGTAGATGTCTCTTATTTGATTGTAAAATTTCACAGCATGTGCTTCTTTCGGGTTTAATTTTTTGTACTGCTAAACCTGTCAACCTCATGATCTTTTTCAGAATATTTCAGTGCTATTTTAAAATGTAATTTAAAGTAAAATTTGAGTTAAAAGAAAAAATAATTTTAAAGCTAGTGAAAGAAAACAACTCTTGCTGATTGGCGTACTGCTTCTTTCCCCAGGAGTGCTCTGCTGCGAGTGAGCAATGACATTGAAACAGAGCAAAGTAAATGACAAATGCATGCAATTCAGTGAGTGAGGGCTGACTGAAAGTCCAACTCAAAGTCCGCTAAAGTAATTAGAAATGTCTTTTTTTCTACTTCAGTGGCCTTCTGATCAGACCTGAA